TGATTAGGTCTGCCTAAATTCTAATTCGCATCCTGCAACTGGCAGATTTGCTGTTCCTCTTCTTAATCTGTGTGTATCACTACCCTGAGAGGAGAACAACAAGCCGCTGTTACACAGCATCGCTTCAGGTGCTCCGATGCTGCTCTTGCTGCAAGCTGTTGTGTCTGGAGGATGGCTGCTGGCTATTGGGGCATGCGTGATTTGGGAAAGAACTATTGCAGAGTGCTTGTCTTAAGGCCAGGGATGGCTGTGTTGTAGTGGCAGGCAGAGTGATTATTTCAGAAGATCTGGTAGGATGGACAGACTTCTATGCCAATTCAGGACTGCTTGAACGTCATTCATGCCAAATTTATTTAACAGGCTCAAACAAAGTTAGGTTTCTTGTTGAGTTCTCCATTAGAGCATTGCAAAGAGTCCTCAGGGTTCCTTTATAGCTATAAGAATCCCAAGCTTAGCTTGTGGAGTGCAGACTGTAGCCTTTCCCAAAAGCTACTGCTTGCTGAAGTCTCTATTTACTGACTGGTCCAAATCTTTACAGGAAATACTATGTTGGAGGAGGAATTTTGGCCTTTTTGCATCTTGCCTTGCATTCTTGCTTTGCAGAGTGTCCAGGGTAGGGTGTGAGCAGGTAGCATGTCCATGCATTGCCAAACGTTCGTTCTTTTTCCACCACCTAAAGAAAAGCTCAGTTCTTCACTACGCTGCTCCAGATACCAACATTTGTCTTCCATGTGACTGAACAGAGTTTGGCCTCTTCCTAGCTGTGTCACACTTGCTCATGTTATTTTTACTGCAGCTCCAATCATAAGAGGAGGTGTTTCTCTTAGGCACAGTTTGAACACAAACCAAGAAGTGTACTCTGCCTTCTGTGCTTTCATAAACTCCATGGAGGGCTTTCACCTAGGAGCAAGGGGCTGCTGCTTAGGTGGGCTTGTTTGTGTTCTGTCCCTGACTTAATCTGTTGAGTCTACTAAAGGCTACACTGCAGGGGGATGTGAGGCCCTGAATGCACTCTGGTCAATTAGGTCTGTAAAGCATTATTTATTACTATTATTTTTTTTCAAAGTGGGTCAAGCAGTTTTGGCATTTCAGGCGTTGATTCCTGGTTCAATTGCAGGCCTTGGTTACTATGGCAACTGCAGAAAGCGTTCGTCATGGCTGTGCCTTGGGCCAGATTCAAACTTCAGGGACTGAGCAGAAGCAGTGAGAGTTTTGAGGGGCTCAGGGCAGGGGGAAGCGAGTGGGACGGAGCTGCAGGCTTGTGGGTTTTGTGCCCATCCTTCTGTGGTAGAGATGAAAGGCTGAATTAACAGACACTTTGTGTTCTTAATTGTGTGCACACCTGTGGAGTCCTTCCTTTGAGAAATATTAGCCTTGCCCAGTCATCAGGTAGTATGAGGTGGATTCAGACCTCCTGAGTTTGATCAGTGCTCTGCCACTGGCTTAAGGGGAGACCCTAAGAAGGCGCCCTTGAAGCTCTCTTTTTTCCTCTATTCCTGCAAAGGTGATAATCCATACATACCTAACACAATACGTATGGATGGATTTAGGTTTTTAAAGCATGCCAGAGATGCTAAGTGACTGGAAGACAAACTTGGAGGTTAGAGTCTGCTTGAGATTGTGCTTGGCAGAACTGACACGAAAACATATGGCTACGGTAGTGTGAACTGAGCCTGGACAAAACCATACGTGCCAGCTTTAAGCTAGTTAGTGCTGATGCTGCTCCTATGTAGCTGCAGCAGTGTGGGTTAGTCAGCTGTGACTGGAAAACCCACCTGAGGAGCTTTGTAAGGTCTTGGGTGATTAGCTTGAATTGGCCTCCATAGCTGCACACTGCTTAGCCGTATCTGTGCTGCGTGTGTAAAGTCAGTTCTGGAGCATTGTGCACTCAGAGTGTGAAAACTGAGAATGTATCTTTCATGCCTGTGTGTCAGTAGTGAGTTTACATTGGAGCTAGTATTAATGTATTTGTTGCAGGCCACACAAGATGAAATTTGTCTCATTTCTCATTTGATTACAATTCGAGTAAAAGAACCAAACTTTTTAGCAGGTTTCATCTGAGTTTCACATGCATGTGGTACAGCTGTATCCTGGTTTTGAACTAGTTGTGTTGTGCTTTACTTTAGAAGCAGTAAAAACTTAGGGCTTCTTCATAGCTGTAACCTGAAAGCAAGCAAAACCTTGACTGAATTTGACTTGGTCTTTATAGAGTTGCTTGGAGCTGAAACTCAAAGTGCAATTTGTGAGTATGAACTCGTATGAACTGAAAATGAGAAGGAGGTTGTGCATGATAAACTCAGGTTTTGTAGAGCTGTAGAAGAAAAGCGAATACGTCTGTTCAAACAAATTTAGTGCAGTGATACGTGACTCAGGAACGCTCACTTCAAATTCTTGCCTTGTATTTCTGGGGACCTCTCACATAAACCAGTTTATGTAGAATCAACGATGCTGGGGGCAAGATTTAGGAAATTTGATGTAATGCCAGATAAGCAATAACACAGCATGAGCAGGAACAATACAGCCTCAGAATTTAGAGTTGTGAACTGTAGGAATGGCAATTAAAAACTGTTTCCATCTCTAGAAGTGTTGCTGGTGATCTTCAAGCCTTAGTACCATTTGCACAGCACCTTCTGCACGTGTACAGAGGTGCTGATTGCAGTCGGTACAGTAGATGCAACTTTGCTGAGTTGTTAGAAAAGTGCGTACATCTTGAGTTAGCTAGGAGAAGTAGCAGCAGGAGGACAGAAAAAACGAAATGCCCGTTTTAACTGGATCAGCTAAAAGTCTGTGAAAAAAACTGGTACTTTTGTACATTTCAATAAGCTATAAAAACCGTGATAATTTTACTTTGTGATATACCTAAACTTTTGTAGGCAGTGCTGCTGGGAGAATGGTCCAGATCATCTTTTGCTCAGTCTTTTCTTTTGTTTCAAATATGATTTGGAGGGATTAAAGCTTGAATATTGCTACAGTTGCACTGTACATATAGTTAGTATTCCCTATACCTGTGTCTTGACTGGGGAAAGGGAGGACACAGGATGCTGTTGGAGTATTTCACTCGTGAGATGTGCCATTGTTAGGTGTGAACTGTGAAGAAACATGCTAAGGGGGTGAATCTGGTCTTCTCACTGGAGCTAACTGGGGGTTTAGGTGGCATTTCAACAAGCAGCTTTTTATTATTCTGTATCTATCTGTATGATTCTCAGTCTATTAAGTAGAAATAGGTAACGGAACAGTTTCATCCATCTTTCTTCCTGCTTACAGAACATTTTGCAAGCCCATTTTCTCTAGCCTGTTCATTATCTATATGGACTTCCACACTTTATAGTCTTGAAAATGTCTTCTGTGGGTTTTCTGCCAAGTGCCGTGCTACTGTTCTTGCCAATTGCAAGCTCATTGCCTGTACGAGTGTGAAATTTGATTCTGTTAGTGTTTGCAGAAGCCACTTTGTTTTTATGCTTTCTGCAGATTGTTTAGGGAAAGTTTCATCACTTGTGTGTTAACACAAGCAGTTAGCAAATAGAGGATAATTTATGAGACCAGTTCATCCAGTACTGAATCAAACCAAACTAAACCTGGTAACTACTGGAGGAGTGTGTTACATTATCTACCTGTATCTGCTAGCATTTGTAAAATGTGTTTGGCATCTTCAGAGGTAAGAGATGGATATGATTTTTAGCTGAGAATTAATGAAACCTCAGGCACGTATTCAACTTTTCTACATTTTGAGAAAGGAAACGATCCATTTTAACTAGCTCACTGTACATCCCATTGTGAGAAGCAAACTTCAGTTTGCTAAATATAACTGGGCTTTAAATTATAGACCTTAAGAGTTTGATTGTACTAGCTTCTTTAATTCACTCCCTTACAGTTTTAATTCCCTCGTCCTTTATATACTGCCTACTCTTCTGCTGCTCAGATGTGGCCTGCTTTCTGATGCTCAGATGATAACAGGGTACCCTAACAACTCAGCATGGCAGAGTTAGCACAAAGTTCATCCTTGGATCAGTGCAGGTTCCACTGTAACCTACAGGCTGCAGAGTTGAACAGTAACAGCTGGAAAGGCCTCAAAAGATGTTTGGGCTGGTCATAAATAGATTTGACTGCTGAAGGAAATGAGTTACATAGGGAAAAATGGATGTAGCATGTGGTATTTTGAAGTCTGGCAGGAAGAGGAGGCATCAAAAGAGAAGGAATACTGAGGAAATCTGAGTTTTCCTGCTCTGTAACTGGCTTTGTGATTTAGGTGTTAAGGCATTTGCTGAAGATACGGGATGAGAAGTTCTGTTCTCCTAAATGCTTTATAATTTTTGTAAAACTCTAAAAGATCTTGCTTTTCCCCCATTACAAAAGGGAAACTTTTTTTTAATCATGAAAGGTTATATGTTACAGCAAAACATTTTCATGCCCAGCTCTAACTGATGTGGGGAAACATGATTTGATACAGGAAATCATGACTGCATTGTCTGTCATCATGACTCCCCTCCCAGTGCCCTATCATTTTTGATGATCTTTAATGGAGTGTTTCCTAAGTGATACGATACATTTTTGTGTATCCTGTCGAGAATAGTTGAAATAAAATAAAGGAGGGACAGAGTGGGACTGTATCAAGAACACACTGACATCTCCCTCATTCTTGAGTGCAAGTTTTCTAAGATCAGATCATCATTTTAAACTCTCAGAGCTGACAGGAGAGAATGAGTTCATCCTCCTAGGCGTTCATTTGTGGTCAGATGAATTGAAGAGTGGGTGGAGAAAGACACTGGCAGGCCGTTGTAGTTCCCCCTGCCACTGGTAAATGATAACTGTCTGCAGCCTAATTTTACTGGGGACATAAGTCCTAAGGGTGGCATTGGGTGCATTGCTTCCGGAAGCCTTATTTGTCTGCTGTGCTAGTGGAGAAATCTGTGGGTTATGCTCCACCTCAAGGCATTGGTGCAGTTGGTTTCTGTTTGAGCTGAAGATTATTAACCCTGCTCTTTCTTTCTTTCTTCCTGCAGTACTGCCAGTAACTCAAACCGCAGCACGCCTGCCTGCTCCCCAATCCTGCGCAAACGTTCCCGGTCCCCAACACCACAGGACTCCCAAGGAGACACCATGGTGGAAAAAGGCTCGGACCACTCATCAGACAAATCCCCGTCGACGCCGGAGCAGGGTGTACAGCGTAGCTGTTCCTCTCAGTCAGGCCGCAGTGGGGCCAAGAATTCCAAGGTAAGGAGTAAGCAAATGACTTTGGTCAAGATGCACATGTGTCCCTAGTTCTAAACTCTCTAATGCAGTACACTGGCTTTGTTCTGTGCCTATTTTTCTCTGGCTAACTTTCCTCCTCCTTCACCCATCATACTTGTGAAAATTCTCCTAACTGGGAGCCATTTGCGTAGGTCAGACTTCAGCACAACTCTATCATCCTTTCAGCAACCTCAGTTCACGAATTGCTGATGGTTTGTACTGCCGTTCTATAACGGCTTATGCAGGCTAACCTTTTTGCAGTCAGGGCCCTATTTTCTTGGAAGGCTCTGTGGTTTTGAGAAAGACCTTGAAAATTGGCTGTTGCAATTACTTTTTATCATGAAGGGTCATGGAATGAATACAGCTTCCTCTGTGCAGACTGCCTGTGAAGGGGCCTTGCATTTCTCCAGTCCTGTCTAAGCCCTGTGTTGAGATGAGGTTCAAGTTGGACAGAATCAGTTTGCCAATCCTCTGCATATTGCCTCCTGTCGGTGCAGTGGTGTGGTTGTCTTGGCCAGGTTAGATGAGATTTTCCCTAGAAAGGTTTTGTGTCTTTTGACCGTATTAGAAACAGCCTTGTCTCTGCTGTACTGAGGAAGAGGGGTTCAGGTTTGGGGACTCTTGATTTTCTGTGAGCAGTGGGACCTGGTGTAACGCATACAAGGGCCTTGGGAGCCAAACGTAACCTTTGATTATAGCCCTGCGGTCAGTGGCATATTATAAGACAGTTAGCTGTCAGGAGCACTTGTGTTTTTCCAGGTTTTTAAATGAAATATTTCAGCCTGAATAACTTCACGGTGTTACAGGCATGCTCTGATGGTTTGTGGGAAATGAGTTGTTCGATCTTTGCCCAGTTTATTGCTGGATTATGTCACACACAGAAGAACTCTTTGTCCACTCCCCTTTGTGGTCACTGTCAGTAGAGGAAACAGGATTCGCTGGCCCACATTCACTGGGCTGAACCGATCTCTTGACACTAAGGGGGGTGTATGTGAGTTTAAAACAGCGAGCGAAGGGTTTTTGCAAGATGAATCATGAGAGACCTGTCAGTTCTGAGGTTGCAGGTTGCCCTTGAAGTCAGATTTGCTTCCTATGCACAGTAACCTGCAAGCGTTGCCCCAGGGTGGCAGGACCGAGTGATGCCCTCAGCCAGCAGTCTGTCCCCAGAGTAAAGCCAAGCAGATGGGAGGCAGGCAGGATGAGGGGCATGCTATGTTTTATAACCATATTGGGGGATGCTTTGTCAGGGAAATGGTGCCCTTGCTAAGGGGGAATTACAGAGATGAGTTGCATTGCCCTGGACCACAAAGTGCTGTGATGTAGGGCCATGGGAGCGTGATTTTTTACCAATATCGTGACTACTAAAGCTTGGCTTTAATTTGTGGTGCTTTTCACAAGGAAGAGGGGGATATAATGCTTTCTGTTGGGTTTGTGGGTTTTCCTTCTCTTGATTTGTGAGGTAATTTTTCTTCTTTCCTTAATTTCTCTCTTTTCATTCCTGCATGCTTTCTCTCCGATTAAGTCACACAAGCGCCTCTCCAAAGTAAGCCTTCTTTTTTCTCTCCTGTCCCCCACCGTAGAATTGTCTCATCACTCAGAAACCCTCCCTGTGGTACTGAGCGGTGACCCCAGTAAGGCATTCTCCTGGTGTGGCTGCGAGAATGTCAGCAAGAGCTCAGCCCGATGCCTGTAGCTGAGAAGCTGGTTTCACTTATATCACTGGGATCTCATTAATATTTGCTCACATGGTGTGAGAACTGGCCTGTTCATCACACTCCTTCAATTACTTCCAACTAATTTTAGCCTTTGTTGTAAGGTTTGCTTTACCTCTCCCTTGAAGTGAGCTGCTGTCTTTGCCAGGGAGAAATCTACTGGCTTTGGTAGGCTGAACAGTACCATAATCCCGTCTCTTTCCTCTCTTCTTACTTTATGCCTTTCAGAAACAAGAGTTGATCTCCATAACTTCTTGCCTGCTTTTTATGATGAATAGTAGTTTTGTGGCCAGTGATCTCAGCTTACTGCCCTTGCATGCTTTCCTGTGTGATGTAAATATTAAAGATCAGTGATTTGAAATGAACCCAGCTTAAACCTGTTAGAACAGACCTGTCCCAAATGAATTGTGAGAATTCATGGGCTCGCTCTGAAAGGAAATAAGTAGAAGATCCCTCTGTGGGTGCTTGGATTGGAGATAAGGTCATTTGAGATTTGATCTCCTATCTCTATGCTTTCCTCAGAAGAGTATAAAAATAAAAAACGGAGATGGGATGCTTATTGGACAGAGTGCTAGGCTGTTGGCATTTCCAAATGTATGCAAGTAAAGTTAAAACCAGAATGGCTTTGATGGCTTCATAATCCACGAAATCAGTGCTTTGGCCTTTCCCCAGTTGATGCCTTAGATTTCATTCTAGGGAAGTTCTCAGAGAGGAGTGAAGTCTACATTGCTGGCTTACTGTTTTTCCTTGGTCATAATGCCTCTTGTAATCAGCCTGACCTTGCATGATTGCTGGTGTCTGCTGGAAGCTTCTTTATGTCTTTTTTAGACAGATTGTCTTTTACTTGGTAATTGTAGCTTGGATAACTACAAAGGAGGACTGTGGGACTAATGTCTCAAGTGAGGTGTGAAAGAAGTTCTATGGAAATTGCGGGTCTGGAGTAGCAGACTTCTGAAAGGATTGCTGGTGAGTAGAGGTGTGTGGGTCAGGACAGGTCATGGCTAGGCTATGGTAGGCTGGAGGTGCTTTGCCTAAGCTATGGAGAGGTTTGTTAGGAGAGGGACTGGTGGGAAGAACATTGGTAGAGTGTGATGTATGCGTAGTGGTACTGTGATGCGCTTGTAGCCAGCCCCTTGTTTTGCTGAGAGAAAAAAAACAAACTTGAAGACAATAGAGAAACAAGTGGTAAGTGGATCTCAGATGAGTTCCAATGTGAGGAAGCCGATGTGCAGAGGGAAGGGGATCCCAGGCATGACCTCCACCAGCCTGCGTCAGAGCCTCCTGCCCTGCTCACCCACAGTCTGTGCACAGGGTGAGCCAAAGGCAGTGTGAAGGCTGAATCTCTTTTCTGTGCTCCACGAGGTGGCTTTCTCTGGTACAACTGAGAATTCTCAGGTGGCCCCCTGACTCTCCCCACACAGATGATGTTGGTATCTGTTCAAATCAAGGAGAGGTTAGGAACAAAGAACTTGAGGACAAAGATTTTAAAATCTGCTTTCTCAGCCTCTTCTCCTCTCCCCACCCGTCTTCTGTGACACGAATGGTCTGATTTTCCAACCTGTCTCACTAATGAAACGGAACAGCTTGAGCCCATGAGTTTGATGCTGTGTTTATACAATTGCTGACAGATCTGCTTGAAGTCCCCTGCCCTCTTTTGTCTGTTGTGTTAATTGTCGTGCTGCAGTGTTGCCATCAGAGGGAGCGCTTCACCAGGAGTTTTTAAGCACTGGATTATATCTGTAGGATATCTTTTCTGGAGGTTACTTTTTCATGCTGTCCACCAGTGTGGCATGGATCAAACCACCTATAGGGCTCCATCAGCCTTAGGCTTTTACTGGCAAACACTGCTGCTTCTGAAACAGCTTTCTGAACTCAGCAAAAAACCCCTTTTCACTAGCAGCCAACAATGAAATACGTATTTTTAACTCTTTTGTTTTTGCCCAAGGATAAAAGTGATTTCCTTTCCATTGTGAATCCTTCTGATTCTTTGTATTGTCTATAGCTAATAATGAATTCTGAAGATAAATATCAGGTTAGGGGAAAACGTGAATTTTGATGTAGGCCCTGGAGATTGTAGAACAGTTTGGCTCTGAAGGGATCTCAGAAGGTCTCTAGTCCAAGCCCCTGCTCAAAACAGAGCTGATGTGGTTAGATCAGGATGGTCTAAAATCTTGGCTGGGCACATTTTGCAAACCTCTAAGACTGGAGATCCCACAGCCTCATCGGGCCCCCGCTCCAGTGCTTAACCACTCTTGCTGCGAACAGGCTTTTTCCTTCTATCCAAATAGAATTTCCCCTACTGTAGCTTATGACTGTTGCACCTTGTCCTTTCAGTGTGCGGTTATGAGAAGAGTTTGGCTGTGTCTTCTCATTTACCCCTCCCACTGGGTGGTATAATCCTCCTTTAGGTAGTAGGTCATGAAATTCTGATTGTTTTGGACCGGGGTAAGGGATTTGGGAATAAATTTCATTAATTCCTTTGAGTTATTTGGCTATAGGCATTTAGAAGCCAGGTGAATGGCATAAATTTTGGAAGTACACAGGTCAGGAGAAAGGGCTCTGGAATCCATTCCAAGCTCTGCCCTCACCCTGGTTCTGTGCCTCTGTTTCCCCAGTTGTAAAATGGACTTAGGGGTACCTCTAGAGCTCTGTGACATGGCATTCACTTGGCAAAAGGTTTCTGTTCCCCTGGAAGCAGCAGTATGTAGGAGTGAGTTGTGATCCTGCTGCTAGTAATGCTAAAAGGTGGAAACTTCTGTTGGCATCAAGTTAGCAAGCTGAACTTCATATGTGTTATCCACTGCTTCCCATCTGCACTGTAAAGCTGTAAACTTCCATAGCAGTATATGCAAATATGAGATCATTAACCCATGAAGGTTTAGAGGCAACACTGTATTACTTAAAGGTTTAGAGAAAATATCCCCTTTTTTGCCTTCCTCAAGTTCTCCTAAGATCTTCCTGGTTACAGCCACCATGTAACTATGAACTCTGGTATCTGCTCCTATAGCATCGTCTGCAAATCAGTTCCATCTTTTCCACTTCTGTGTGCAACTCCATTCCTCTGTTACTTATTTATTTTCTCTTTTCAGTTCTAATACTTATGGTTTCTTTTTCCAGTATGACAGACTTAACCTGCTCAAAGTAAGAATATGTTTTTCCTTTTTCTTTCCTTTTCCCCTCCATTATACCGTCTCTTGATTTTCATAGTTCTCATCCCTTTATATTCTGACTCTCAGTGAGTTAAAAACAAAGGTGAATAAAACTGAAGATAATATTTAAGGACTCAGATAGTCTCTGTGGACTCCTGTAGTCTGTTCTACCTGCAAAACAGGGGTCAGAGGGAAGGAATCTCCTCACATTTAGGACACTTGGTGGAGGCAAAAGATGAGGCTTGGATGTCAATAGAATTGTGTGGAAGAACTTAAGGAGGAGCTGCAGAGCTGCTTTACAGAGGAGCCGCAGTTTGGGGAAATTCAAATGTGAGGGGCAAAAAAAGAGTGCTGCAATTAATGCAGCAGAGGGGAATGAAATCCTGTTGCAGTGTGCTTACACCACAACACGTGCACCCTGATTTAGAAGGCACAGTGACAGCAGTGTCTCTGTTTTCTCTATGCCAATTATAGTTCGGTTATGAATTTATTTCCCCAGGAATTTCTCAGTTATGCCGTTTGCTCATTAAGGCAGACAGATGGCAAAACAAATCTGCAGGAAAATCACCCCATCTTAGACCCTGTGCTCCTGGGGACAAGGTGGTGTGTATATGGATTAAGATTAATTCCCCTGATTTTTTTTTTTTATAGGCTGAATTGCATAAGGCCTTTTTTCATGTCCTACTTGCAGAGAAGGATGACTTCAATCAGACCTTTTATGAATGGGGAGGGTATGGCCAAGTATGGAATAGTGTAGGAAGTAAGAGGCAATTTGTCTGGTTAGTTGATGAGCCATACTGTGTATTCAGTTCTTCAGTTCGTATCTGTTTCCTGGGATTTGGAGAAAGGCCTTAGGGGTGTTGCTCTTTTTAACATCAAACTTTTGTATTTTGGCCTGTGGCATATACTGTGTTACTGTGGGGTTTTTCATTGGAGTCCAGTGCAGCAAAACTGGCAGAAATGCCCAAGGTTGCAAGGGATCCCTCAGAAATGTTGAGTCCATGACTGAGATCCAGGTGCCAATAAGGTTGTCTACTGGAGTGACATACAGGGAGTATAGGAAACTGAAAGCAGGGAGGTCTAGGGAAGAACAGTGTAAGCAACCCCATGTCTTCATAAAAATATCCGGTCCAATCTGATCTCATTAACACTTTGCGCTTACTTTCCTGTGGTGAACGTCCTTTACGTCGTTGGTCCTGTTGTGGGCTATCCCAGTGCAGCTGGTTTCTGTGAATATGAACCTAACTCCGAGTGGAACTTCCACAGGCTCTGTTGCAAGTCAGATAACAGTATGTTTTCCTTCATATTCCAGACTGGGTATAAAGCTGTAAAAAATACTCCCAGTCCAAGGTCAGAAGCAAGATGACTTCAAAGAAAGAAATATGGTGAAATACTGCTTCTGTCCTTGTCTATTAGACTCAGCTCCCCCAAGTGTATTGTAGACGTGCCATTGCTGGTTGGGAGAGGGGGCGTGGGGACAGTTGTGTGGCAGCTGACACACAACGTTCCTGGCAATATGGGCGGTAGCTGACCACTGTTAGTGGCGAAAGGCTACAGTGCCCCCAAGCTTCATTGCCCTGAGGTAAATCCACCCTAAAATGGGGGATGCCTATTCTTTCTGTCAGTTCTGCTCAGTGTCCTGACATTGGAAAGCCAGCCTGACTGGAGTGGGAGTGTGAAGCATATTTCTTCCTCTCTCTGTGCAGATAAATCTCACCTCCAGCTGTAAATTGCCAAGTGTGACTTTCCAAGCTGAGCTAGCTTTTTATATGCTTCAGTGTGACATGTGGCTTGTCCTCTCAAACCACCTGAAATGCCATGTTAAGGACAAAAAAAATCACATGTGCAGATGATGCAAAACACTGTGCACTGAAATTCTGGAAAAAAACAAAAAATTAAAAATCCCAGCCTTTTCTTTTTCTTGCTCAGCTTTTCTAGTGATTTTCTTCAGCAGTGTTCCTGGCTCTGGATGCGTCTCCCTTTTAAAATTTAAAATACTCTTGAAAGTTTTGCCTGATGGCTTTTGTGAGTAAAATTGTGTCCCTGCCTCCTCCTAGGTCTTTGAGGGCTTATTTGCACAGGGTCCGTTCAATGCGATGTGATTTTTGCAACCTAGTCAGCAGACGTGGAAGAATGAAGCCTCTAAAAGGAATGGCTGGCAATGACTCCGATTAGCTCCTCTGTTGCTAGTGGGCGCTGCTGTTCTGCAAAAATGATTACAGCATGCGCGCGTGAGTTTGTGTGTGTGTGCGTGCATGTGGACATGCACACATTAGCCTGGATCGTTTCCTATTATGGACTCTTGCTTCTGGATTTGTTCATTGTTCCTGTAACTGGAAATAACTGTGTTAGACCACACTGTGAAATCCATTGAAATCTTCTGTTTAATCCCGCTTTCACTTCTCTAATTATACGAACCAGATTGGACCTGGTTTCTTTGTCCATCTTTCTTTTTGATCCTAAGATCTCTGTGCTAACTAATGCTTCTCTTTTATTTTGTCCTTACAGAAAAGCCAGAGTTGGTATAATGTAAGTACTCCAGTTTCTCTTGTCCCTGGGTGAATACGGGCTGGGTACCCGGGTGGGGGGGAAGGTGCAAAGGGGCTTTGCAGTGGCACTGGCGCATACATTTCCAAAAAGAGGAGATGGAAATGGCTCAGAACTGGCAAAGGAGGACTGGCATCCTGAGGGAAAGGATGCCAGGGATAGAGACCAAAAGCTTTGTCTTTTCAGTCACTCTTCTGATGATCTCCACATCCTGCACCTTCCAGTTTCCCAGCAGAGTTGGTCTTGATGTGGTGAAAACAGAGCTGCCACTGTGCAAACCCTTTGCATCTCTCAGGGTGGTGTGGGGCGAGAGAGGAATTATTTTCTATTGACCTTACAGAAACACAAACCATCTTTTGCTTCTGCCTTGATCTTATTTTCGTTCTGCAAGCACAAGTGGCAGCGTTTTCAGTACAAAGCTGGTGGTGTCACCTTTGCACGGTTGAAACCCCACCCTTCGAGCGCTCTAGAGAAGATTCCAGCAGTACCTTGATTTTGTAGGCAAATGCAGCACCCATTCCATGTTCAGCAACAGTTCCTACCTTCCTGCAGCCTAGGACATCAGAACCAGTGATTTTGGCTGATACAGTGTGGTCAGATTTGGCAGAGGCATGAGAGGTAGACTTATTTACTTGCTGTATATAATTAGCACCAGGATAGTAGCAAGGACAGGAAAGGACGTGATCTCTGAAGCAGAGAGAAAGATAGAGGCAATGGCTTTAAGAATGAAGTATAAACCACAGTGTGCCAAACTGGTGGAGAAGTGGCAGATAACCGAACGTGGAATGAGGCGCTTTGGGCAGATGCACAGGCACAACCAGGCTGCAGCAAAAATACAACTCTGTGGCCAGGGCTAAAGGTGACTTTTGCTATTATACAAGAGCTGCTTCTGACTGTAGCTGCTGAGATCCATCCCCTGCTGCATGATGCTTTGCTGTGGTCTGCTTTTGTGGGTCTCTTCGTGTTTTCACGTCCTCTCTATCTTATCTTTCTGTTCTCTTGTTTTTCCTCCATATATTTTCAGCATGAGAGACAGTACATCCGGAGAGTAAGCACTGGCTGCATTTTTTGTGGTCCCCCCTCCTCCCCCAATTATTTTCCTTTAGAAAACAAAAACCCCTGTGCTCTAGTTAGTAGAGACATTCTGGCCAGATAAAAGCAGCAATGTGGAAATGCGGATGGGCCACAAACTCCAGGAAGGCAGTCAATCCTACTTGGCAGTGTTATCACCATTAAAAATTTGCTAATGCATCTCCTTGATATAGTTTCCCTTCTTTGCTGGCTCCTTCCAGGCAGGATTTTTCTGGCATTTGGACCATTCTCATTCTTTTATTCCTTTCCCCACTGAGAGCAGCTCTAGAAATCAATGCGTGGAGGCTACCCCTTCATGAAGCCTTACAATTTCCTTTACTTACTTTCCTTCACTTTCATTTTATGTCAACTTCATTATGCTCAGAGCAAACACCCTCCACATGGTTCTTTTTGTCAGTCCAGCAGCCCCGGGTGCCAGGAACTGTACAAACACAAACCAAAAATGTAGTCCTTGCCTCGAAGAGCACACGGTCCTCAAAGTTATCCGGAGCATCAGTGGTCAGAATGCCGGTTTTCTAAGATTACTTCATTTTTTGCTGCTTTTAACTGGTCTTTTTGTCCTTGTAGCACTGTGTCACTCTTTGCCAGTTGAAACCCTTCCTTTTTCCTCTCCTGGATTCCTTTTTCTCTACTTTTTCCTTAAGATGCTACCAACTTTTCTGACCTTGTGTGTTCTCCTTTTGATCCTACCAGTGCTTTTTGGGATTGACATCCCTACCACATTGAGAAGTGGGAGAAAAGGGGTGAACTGAAGTCATGGATTGGTTTGGCAGGAGACCTGCCCTTTCTTGGTTGTGGTGTGCTTTCTCTGCTTTGCTTTCCACAGGACAAATGCAAACTGGTCCTGGTGCACTGTGAGATTTAGAAAAGAACACCAATTTGAGAATAAATATACTCAACCTTACAGGGTTTGCTTTGTGTTCATGTCCTCATGGTGGAAGAGCAGACCATCACTGGGCTGGCTGAGTTCACTAGCAGTGGATAGAAAAAGTCCCTGAGGTGTTTCCCGTGCCTTTAGTGAGGAACCTCAGACATGGAGACTCTGGTTTGGCAGAACTGTTATTCTTATGGAGCAAAACTTCATAAGTATGTTGGTCAGCTGTGGTTTAGGCCCCAGCCATGTATGCTTAGCTGTCAAGATGCAGTTTGTGTGTGTCTGCTTTGGACTTGTGTGTCTTCATGTTGAATTATTGTTAATTGATTTATTATTTTTAAAATATTTTTTTAAATAGGCCTCAAAACCATCATTGTCTGTAATTTTGTTTACTGAAACAGAGATGCAGCTTACTCTGTAGACCCAATGTGCTTAGAGAAGTGGGAAATGTGTCTTTCGCTTCCTGATGATGTGAAGGACGGGGTTGCACTGGCTGTGGGGGTGGCAGGAACTCCACAAATTGGTTGAAGGAATTTGTCACCCAGCAGACGTCATTAGAATTAGAGACAAACTGGAGATATTTTGCTGCCAAGAGTAAAAGCTGTCTCCATTGTTCTTCTCAATCTCTCTGAGCCTTGGGTGCAGGTCCCCATTTCTGAGTGTGGAGGAGCTCTCAGTTTTTGTGTCTGGAGGTCACTGTATGGTTGAAGCACTGAGCCTAGCAAGTCTGCCATGGTTTTTTTTCTGCCTACTTCTCTCTCAGCTAGACTGATGATCCTTCTACTGCCCTGACTGGTCCTAAATTAGGCTGTATGTCTCCAATTTCCCACAGCATTTCTAGCTGCCACTCTATAGCAAGGCTTGCTTCTGTGAATCGCATCCTGTAGTGCCTGTGCTGGTAGATACCAGGCATCAGGAGAATCTGCAGAGCGTACATCCGGAAAAGAGAATATGATGGTCTTGAAAAGTTAGAGCAGACACAGTTGACACCAGGGAAGAGGTGAGATTCATACCTGTCCACAAGGTTTTCAGTTTACTCTTTAGATCCCAAGGTCTGCCCTACTCTCTACTCCTTTCCTTTGTATTTATCTACACACATTCCCCTCACCTGCCTTCTCTTTTGCAACCGTGCTTCATTTTTTTTTCCTTCTTATAGCTTCTCCCTGTAACTGACCTGAACCACCCCTTCTCCACCTATATGCAGGATGATAGCCCTGGAGTGGTTAGTGGGGGGAAAAAAAATTTACAGTGAAGACACTAATTGTCTCTTTCAGGTGTTATTAAATACTACTAGAAACATTTGCTGTCCTAGTAAGTCTGAAAAGATGAACCAAGCCACAGTTCTATCCACTTGTCTTTGGGAGAGCAAAGTCTGCACTGAGGATTGCACGGGGTGGGACGGAAGCCCTGCACCTGCAGTTCTGCCAACAAATGCTGTGCACACAGCTTTCAGCCGGCCCCGCAAGAGGTGAAAGTCTCCAAAATCAATCCTGTCAATTGCAAGTAGGTAGCCATCTAAAGGAGAGAACCCTAGGTTTTCTTTTAAAACTGCGGCAAAAACCTGTGCAGTAGGAGATAGGAGGTAGCTAAGAATCCACGGTGGACTGTGATGCTGCAAAGGGCCTTTCTTTGTGGAGGCCTTTGAGCAGCGCTTGCAGCTTCTTAAGAACCATGTCAAGTGATCACAAGACTGAACGCTACAAGAAATCAGCCTTTCCTGGTATTGGCATGCTGTCTTTTTTTTTCTTGCAGTCCCCTCTTGGAGACCTCGTAGATATCAGAGTGGAGGGGGAAACTCAGCTCTTGGAAGGAGTAAAGTGTTCCCTATAAAGACAAAGAAAGGGAGAAATTAAGCATCGTTTTAGGGAAAACATCAGAAACAGTTTTCCAATGGGTGGCAGCCTGAGTCTGACTCAACAACAGCAATCATGTAAATGGGTTGTATTGCAAAAATTCAAGCCCGATGATGAGTTAGCAAGCTGCTAAACAAACAGCCTTTTTCTCTGTAAGTCAGTGCAATTATCTTTTAATTTCCAGTAATTATTTTGTCAAACTATTTCTGGAGCAATGTCCATCAGGTATTTTTCATAGGCAATTCCCTTCAGATTTTCCATGATTTTTGGTGTATGGTTTACCAGGCCTGGCACAGTTACTGTGGTGTAGAGGCACTAAATTAGAAGTGAGCTTTTCGTGCAAGCTCATGTGATGGTGAATTCAAATCCGCTTTCCACCCCAAATGGCCTGTGATTACTTTAAAGTTTCTTCCTCTGCTGGTTATTCACTTTTAAAAGGGGGGGAAGGAAAGAGGAGGGGGGGGTGGGGGTGGAGAGAAAAAAAACTTGAGAGACCAGACCGGCTTTGGAAGAAATGCTGTGGGACAGGTGGCCAGTTTCTTTGCTGGCATTAATCAGCATAGCAGGCCTGCTGTCAGTGGGGTCTAAACTCTCCCACACAAGCAGGGAAATGTATTCTGTTTATTTTGAGTAGTGTTCCTGTTCTGTCCAGAAGCAATGTAAATCTTCCCTAAAGAGTTAAGAGCAAGTCCATCAATCATGCAGATTGGATAAGGTTTTCCTTCCCTCTTTTCTCTGTGCTTCTTGCCATTTCGCCTCCTCACCTGTTTTCTGTGTTGTGTGCTGTACAAGACTATACCTTTCTCAGTTCTTGTGTTGTCAGACTTCCCTGTCTTGTCCCATCCCCCAGCAACAGTTGCTTTAAATTTCCCCTCAGAGGATTTGTTTGTGTAGTAACAGGGAGACATTACCATGGGGAGTCACCCTTTTCTCCCCGTTTCCCCCCACCGAGTCTCTTTTCTCCACCCTTCACGGTGCCATCTCGTTCCGTCTCTCTGTGTTTGCAGTAGAGTTAATGTTTGCTGTC